CCAGACGATACCCTGATTCGGCCGAAGAAATGAGAAAAGCTGTGTGAGCAACGTTCGATCATAAATGTTCCACGAATGAGAAACCGAAACATGATAACTGCCCGCCAGGTGAAAACAGTTGGTGTAAGTGGCGTGTTGCAGAAGCTAAGGGAGAAATCGCCGATTTCCATCACGGAGCTGCCCTTCAAGCGTCTGTTCAAGAAGCAATTCGACCGGTGTATGAAGCTCTTTCAAGCTATGATTTGCTACAAAGATGCACCGGTGGAAACACGCAAAATGACAATGAAAGTTTTAACGCTTGTCTATGGAAACTGGACACCAAACACCTTCATTGTGGCGAACAAACGATCAGAATAGCAGCATATATAGCCTCCGGCATCTTTAATGAAGGCTATTCATCTATATTAAGAACCATGCAGACGTTAGGAATCGTCATCGGGACAAATAGCAGAAACTTCGCTGCGAAGACTGACGAAAAGCGCATCGAGTCAGGGGAGAAGAATCTGTCAGAGTTGGCAAAAAAGGCCAGGATTGAAAAAATCAGCTTCCAAGTGCAGCAAAACATGATCTTCGAGGATGAGGAAGGAACCCTATATGGTGCTGGAATAGCTGATTAGATGTAAGTGTCAAAAAACAAACATTACATACGATTTTTTCTTCGTCAAACTTTAAACGCGTTTTTCTCGAAACACCTTTTTTTTGCGCGCGAAGCACGATTCCGCTTCAACGACTGAACCGATTTCGATGTTTGACGGCTCAAATTAAAGTTTATTCAATTTAGGAGACTTTCAGGAAGCGTTTTTTTTTTTTAAATTTTTAAATATTTTTTTTAACGTTAAAGCCAAAAAAAAAAAGGAAAAACAGGTTTTTTTTTCAAATGGCCGCCATTTTTTTTAAAAGGGTTTTTTAAAAATCGGAAATTCATAAGGCCCCCCGAATTTTATCTAGTTTAAGAATATTTTTCGTTTTTTCGTTTCAGATCACTTGGCAGGGCTGTAGAGTGCTTCGCGCACATTCACTATCGCCGCGCACGGCTTTCTTCAGTGAGGGCTGGAGCCGCCATTCTTAATTATTTCTGCTCGAAAAAATTTTGTATCATTCTTCAAATATGTACTAATAAGTACCACCAACAGTTTTTTCAAAAAAGATTTACGTTCGCTCAAAAAAAATTTCTGAAATTACGTTAATTTTCAGGCCTTTGGACTAGAACCTCCCCTTAAACAGAGTTTATGTTTTCGTTCCGTTGAATTGTTGAAAGTATACATGTGTTATATGCATTTCCGCTTATATTATATACTGTTGGCCACGTACATTGCATGTTCCACTTCATCGTCATCACTTTCTGACGACGAAAAGTCGTCAACAAGTTTCCGTAAAATTGCAACAATACCATTCTAAATTATAGCTTGTTGCTACCGAGATCAATATTTTCTCCATTCATATTAAACTTGCAATCGCGATAGGTCATTAGCGTCTTACAGTGTGTCAACGAGCCCACCCCAGGTAGCAAGGTGACGACTAAAGATGTCATTAAGACGTCATTAAGACGTTCATGACATTTTAATGACATCTTAATGACGTCTTTAGATGTCACCTTGCTACCTGGGACTGAACGCTATCGTGCTATTGACTCCCCGATGAAAAATGTTTCATGTAAAATTATGTGTGAAATTTGTCCATACATAATTATGTATAATTATATATAATCATATAAAATTATATATAATTATACATAATTAGGTATAAATTACATATATAAATAGAATGTATGAACATGAATGGACAAATTTGATACATAATAATATATAATTATGTATAATTATATATAATCATATAAAATTATATATAATTATACACAATTATGTATAACAATATGTATAATTACATGTAAATCTATGCGTAATTATGTAAAATTATATATGAATTTATATAATTAATTATATTATATATGAATTTATATAATTAATTATATTATATATATATAATTATACATAATTAGGTATAAATTACATATATAAATAGAATGTATGAACATGAATGGACAAATTTGATACATAATAATATATAATTATGTATAATTATATATAATTTTATATAATTTTATATAATTATATATGAGAAATTTTTCATTGGGATCCCCGAACGGTATTTATAGCTTTAGCGTCTCAATTTGAAAATGATTCATAAAGGTGACGAGAGACCTAAATTGAGAGGAGACGATATGTTCAATTTAAATCAGATACAAACCTATCAAACCTATTGGAATAAGTTACAGATCAAGCACCGGACATTTTAGCGGAGAGCGAGGAGAACAACAAGGAAAGTATGAGGCCGAAGGTTATTCGTTATAAGAAAAAAGAAAGACGCTTGTACAGTAAGGGTTTATATTACGACACGGATACTGACGACGACGCTTTGTCCAGTGATACAGGTAGTGAAATATCTCGATTAGGCATCATTCTTCTTTCTTTTTCACTCTGTTAAATATTAATTTTTTAATGATATTCTTTTCTAGCTATTTCTAAAATATTTCTTTTTATATCGTGTAACTTTATCATGAGTATTTCCTGCTTATTCTTTAATCTAATTACATAGTAATTATATAATAATTTACAAGACAAACCACAAAGTTACTTTTGCGAAATTGGTCTAGAGGAGGGCGAAGTCTTGGTTTTGGAGGACGAAGACAGTGAGAGTTCCGAAGATGAATCAGACAAAGGTGATTATGACATATACAAGAAGTTGAAGGAAGCTAGGGCAAGGAAAAACATGTCCGAGATTCGCAAACTTGAGAAGGTCAAGAAGAGAATGATAGCTTCGTGGCGCAATAGGAAGCTTAGCGTCTGGGAGATGGCCAGGCGAATTACAGTGTAAGTACCAATTACCAGAATGTCTAATCCCATCTCGATATAAGTTATCTCGATATATGACTTTCATCTAATTCGGGTGTATGATAAAGTTACCTTCGTCTAATTTAGAATGTATGATAAAGCTACCATGAAACCGAAGAAGAAAGTTACGTAGTACGTCGTTGCGAAGAAACATTTGAAGCGCACCATCAGGCTTGCTGGTATGAAAGTTCGATACAAGTCAATCCGCGAATGAAAAAGGATATACGCGCGGCGAAAGCGAAAGAAAAGTCTAAGGGCCGCGGGATGAAACATCGAGGTGGAAAGACTCCTAAAGCAAAAGCCAAAGCTATGAAAAGGAAGAGAATCAAGTTGCTTTTATCTCTTCTGTAGAATAGAAATGATTGTTATAATTATTTTATCTAAACATTTGCATAATGCAATATTTGTGTTTTTTGTTCAATTTTAAAGATACGATACTCTATTCAACGCCAAACTTTAAAATTTTTAGTTTACAAACAGATCGAATACATTAGACGAGCGACAATGTATAATGTTTTCATTTGCTATAGAATTGTATAATACTATTTAAAAATAAAAAGTCACGTAACACACTATTGAATCTTATATATATATATATATATATATATATATATATATATATATA